TCTTAAAGGACGCTTCCTCCCGCATGAATTATGATTAACTTCCTTCTCTCTTTTCTAGATCATCCGGAAGACTCAATCCACTGCGCTTTCCTCCTAATCACTGACCATCCCTTGTCCTTGATCACTTATAAACTTTTCAATCACTGCTCACCATCGCACTTGACACACGAGCACACATATTCACATCGGCTCTTTATCAGCCCTCTCACAAGCCACAAACATTTTCCTCCCACGCAACCAAGGATAACACCACAACCACCCTCTCCATCGAACTTGCTCAAGTTTCAATAAACAAATCATACTCGAGACCATTGGCTACAAGCACAATGGCTCCCGATCTCAACTCACTTCCCTCTTCGCCTCTGGCGCAACCCGCCAATGGCAAGTCTGCCAACGGCAACGGCAATGGCGCACCGAACGCGAAGCAACCCAATATCCTCTTCATCATGGCCGATCAATTGGCCGCACCCCAGCTCAAGATGTACAACCCCGAGTCACAGATCAAGACACCAAACCTGGATGCTCTTGCCGCTGAGTCTGTTCAGTTCGACTCTGCCTACTGCCCCTCCCCGTTGTGCGCACCATCGCGCATGAGTTTGATCACCGGTCTTTTGCCCATGAAGATTGGTGCTTACGACAACGCCAGCCAGATCTCCAGTGAGATTCCCACCTACGCACACTACCTGCGTCTGAAGGGCTACCAGACTGCGCTGGCAGGCAAAATGCATTTCATCGGGGATCAGCTTCACGGCTATGAGACTCGCTTGACTAGCGACATTTACCCCGGTGACTTTGGCTGGGTCGTCAACTGGGACGAGCCAGACACCCGTCTTGAGTGGTACCACAACTCCAGCTCCATCCTCCAAGCCGGCACTTGCGTGCGGAGCAACCAGCTGGACTACGACGAGGAGGTCATGTTCCGCTCCACTCAGTTCCTCTACGACCACGTCCGTGAGGGTCCCGAGAAGCGCCCTTTCGCTCTCACCGTGTCTTTGACTCACCCTCATGACCCCTACACGATTGAGGACAAGTACTGGGATCTCTATGAGGACGTCGACATTGCTCTTCCCAAGGTTCGCATTCCCAAAGAAGAACAGGATCCCCACAGCAAGCGTCTCATGAAGGTCTGCGATCTTTGGGACTATGATTTCACCGACGACCAGATTAAGCGGGCTCGCCGCGCATACTACGGCGCTGTCAGCTACGTTGATGACTGTGTCGGAAGACTCTTGTCCGTTCTCAAGAAGTGCGGTCTGGATGACAATACCATCATCGTCTTCAGCGGCGACCATGGCGACATGCTCGGCGAGCGTGGACTGTGGTACAAGATGAGCTACTTTGAGTCTTCCGTCAGAGTGCCGCTGTTTGTCCGCCACCCCAAGGACTTTGAGCCCCATCGTGTGGACAAAAACGTTTCTACCCTCGACATTCTCCCGACGCTGTGCGATTTGGTCGGCACGAAGCCTGCTCCTGGTCTACCCATGGATGGTGTTTCATTGCTGCCCCATCTTCAGGGCAAGACTGGCCACGACAAGGTCTACGCCGAGTACACCGGCGAGGGCACTGTCAGTCCGCTCATGATGATCCGAGAGGGCCCTTGGAAGTACATCCACTGCCCTGCAGACGGCACCCAGTTGTTCAACCTCAAACACGATCCGCTCGAGCTGGTCAACCTGGCGTCATCCAAGGCCATTGCCGGCAAGCTGCTGGACGAGGAAGCCAAGGCAAAGCTTGACGAGTACAACGCCGAGACAAAGGCCAAGTGGGACTTTGATGCCATCACCGAGCAGGTCTTGCAGTCTCAGCGCAAGCGTCGCCTTGTGTGGGGCGCTCTTACCCAGGGCCAGTTCACTAGCTGGGACTACGACCCCGTTGATGACGGTAGAATGAAGTAAGTTGTGATCCCGGCATAATGAACCTCCAGACTCAATACTAACATCTCTCAGGTACATCCGCTCGCAGATTCCTCTGGACGACCTCGAGCGTCGCGCTCGATACCCGCCCGTGGACAAGTACGGTCGGGAGGTTGACCGCGCCACAACTGGTCACAGGGTTCTTCACGACCAAGCTGGATCTCACGGCCAGTAAATCTTTTGCATATTTATGATGATAACGACACCAAAATGCATGTCACAGGGGCGTTGGGGCATATCATTTAATTTACAGCACGCGATATCTTTTCTCTTCTTTCTCGCAGATATCCGCAAGGCGATCAGGCGCATGGTCATGATCTTCAGGACAGACCAGACGCCCTTTGTATTTTAGCTTTCAATGGGGCTTAGGACATGAATGCCCAAGAATTAGCACATAAGCAAGTTACCAGTTGCAATGAAGGTCCTGTCTCATTGGAACGTGACACTCAACCTCTTGAGGATTACTCAGAGACCTTTTTAAGCAGCTCGCTCGTCGTCACGAAATCCCGACTGCCTCACTTGACGTGCTACTCCCATTACGCCGTGCTCATTTAATGGGACCGCCTTGGCTTTTCTAACAAGCTGAGTGCTTTGCCACGTCGGTAGCTGTATTTGAATATCGAATATCTTATGTCAAGCATGCAAACCCGAAGCCAATTGAGTGTGGTCGTTTCCCCGTGACCGGGAAGAGCCTCGAACGAGTCTGAGGGTGAATGGTCGTCTGGTCTCCCTTGTATGCTTACATACCTACCTTCTACCTTGCTAACTTGGGAAAACCGAGAGGAATTCCATCCCGCGTGGCCCCTGCTCCCGGCCCTGCATCGCTTTTTCAGCTGGGGGTTGCGCCGGGCCAGCGGGGTACGCGAGGTACGTGCTGACGCCGCGATCGCTGCCCACACCCCCGTTCGACGCGGAGCTCCTGGACCCATTTAAATTACCCCCGGGCCGAGTGGATTGGAACGTCACTCGTACCTTTTCTCCCCTCCTCAACCTGGATAGAGGGAGCTCAATTTCCGGTAAACTCTCAACAAAACCACCCCCACGCTCTCTACTCCCGACGACGTCGAAGATTCAATTGCGCAGTCGCATCCCCTCGCGACATAACTCACCCAACACCTTTTCCCCTTCTGCGACTCGCTAGGCACTCACCAATCCCCGGCGCGTCGAGCCGCGTGAGCTGTGCGATTTCCATCATCCGCTACGATCCCCAAAGAACCTCTACTTTTCTCTGATCTGGGACGAGCCGCACGAAGACGAAACAACGCACGGGGAAAAAAAAAGACCACGGGCAATGGACAAGCCGAACGCGCTCGGCATCACAGCCGATGAATTCAAGGCAATTGAGCAGACGCGCCAGCGTCTGTTCCAACTCTCCAACAGCATCCAGGGTCTGCGGATGGACGTCTTGAAGAGTAACCCGCTTCCTCCCCCGTAAGCTCCCCCCCCCCCCCTCCTTCCTCGTAGCTCCACATCCATCAAGACACACGATTCAAGAAAGAAGGAAAAAAAGATTTCTAGACGTGCTAACATTGTGCGCCACGACAAAAACAGAGCGTCCCTCCAAGCACAATCCCAAATCCTCCTCCGCAACCTCCAATCCCTCCTCGAGACCCTGACAGAAAACACCCACGTCTTCCAGCACCTCCACGTCTTCCCGGACGTCGCCTACCCGGGCCGCGTGCACGAGAACATCCTGCTGCAGCTGCTCCGCAAGAAGCTCGAGCCGGGCGTCGAGGAGTGGGTCGAGCGCGGGCGGGAGACGACGCGGGAGCTGCGCGGCGGCGCGAACGCCGCTCCTCCTCCTTCCTTGTCGGACGGCAGCAGTGTTGGCATTGGCGGCGGGCCCGGCATTGCTGGCGGACCTGTCGGTGCTGGCAACGGCGGCGGCGAGGCCCAGCTCGAGGCGGTGTGGCGCGACGTGCGCGCGTGGACCGTCGAGCGGGTGCAAAAGTACGTCCTCGAGGAGGCGGGGGACGTGTACACCGAGGACGAGCGGCGGATGGGGGTGGAGAATGTGAGGACTGGGCTGAGGAGGGGGCTCGAGGAGGATGACGAGGATGACGATGATGAGGACGAGGAGAGCGATGAGGAGGGCGGCGGTGGTGGTGATGGGGACGTGATCATGTCCGGGCAGTCGCAGAAGACGAAGAAACCGACAAAGCCAACGGGCCCGGAGCCGGAGATGCTCTTCTGGTTCGAGGCGAGGGGCGATTTCGACTTGCCGCGGAACGTGGACTTGCTGAGTCAGGCTGGTATGAAGCGTGGGCGGTGAATGCAGGGGATCAGGGGAAGCGAGGGAGGAGGAGAGAGGGTTTGATTGAAGAGCGGGATCGATGATACCCGGCCGCGACGACGGCTTTTTTGTTTTTTTCTTGGTGGGGGGGGGGGGGGACTTGCGATAGGAAAAAAGACTTCAGGAGGGAGTTTATGGAGAAGAAGAAAAGAGACACCGAAGAAAAGAGACACCGGAGCGGCAGTGAAATCATTTGGTCAATTAAAAAAGAAAAGAAAAAAGGCCAATTTTTGGTACTAGAATATCTCCAAAGAGGGCTTTTTGCGCATTGCATGGCCCAAACTTCCATCGCCCACAAGCTGCATGTTGCCTAGTTGTCAATTCTCCATGATGTTCTTATCATTTTAACATGTTCCGATCCTGCCTTCTCCTTCCTCCCTCTCGACCCTTATCTTCCGGACTATGACCTCCAGAAGATTGGACAAAAATGCCCTCCTCTCTCCTTCGTCGTTCGCTACCACCTCAGTGGCGATCTGGCTGAAGTTCCGAAGGTGCGGGCTTTGGGAACGCGCAGGTCATGTCTCTGGAGGAGGTCGTGAAGCTTTTGACAGATGACTTTCTCAACTTTGTTTGGGTGTGATGATCAGTAATTACCGCCAGCGAACGAAACCTCCTCGGATACTAAGGCTAATCTAACCCCCCCCCCCCCCCTCAACCCCCTTTTTTTTTTCTTCTTCTTATTCTTTTACCTCTCTTTTTCTTATCTCGTTGTGTCGACTGAAGACATATGCTAGTCCTGTCTAGTGTGACATGTTTGAACTCCGTGGCTGCTTCGCGCGATAGTAGTCTCTATACTACTGCCACCGCAGGCCCTGAGGGGCGGAAGAGCTTGACATCATTTCAGTCAGAGAGGGCGTGAATGCAACATGGCGATCAGAGAGATAGCTAGATTTGATGTCGCTCCACGACGGCAACGGAGGAGAAGGCTGATAGGTCTTCTTCTGACGTTCGTACCAGTGGAATCTCCAGTGATCTACGCTCCATAACCCCTTCTTCGCGACCAACTTGAATGGCTCCGTGTCCACAAAGTCCCCAGTGCCAAAGTTGCAACGAACTATGGACGTCCCGTCGACGATTTCTTGCATTACCTGCGGGAACTTGTCAAACAGATAACAGTCGTTAAAGGCGGGGAAGTCGAGTAACGGAGTCCTCTGGGTATTTCTCCTCATCCCATACGGCTCTGACGGAAGGGCGCCGCTTTGGAAACATTCTTCCATCGCCTGCTGCCACGCAGCATCGCGCAGAACGACAGTCTGGAAAATTTCCGAACACTGCGGCTCACCCTCTCCATCCAAGACCAACGTAAATGATTTGGCGGGCATACCGGCGGGGACGAGTGGCAATACCTCAATAACCCAGCGGGCGACGGCGTAAGAGATCTTATTAGCGTCTAGACCGAGATTGTAGTCTTGGTGTGTCCGCACACCAAGTGCTTGCCCCGGCAGATGAAAAAAAGCGTTCCGCCACAGGCTGACACGTCGCTCTATCCGCAACTCGGGATTCTCTTGACAATAAGGTATCAACCCCATTGCGTGACACTCGGGATTTGAAACAGACTCCTGATCTTCAATCAGCACGATGTCCCTCATGTGCGCTCGGGTCGCAGGCGTATTGGATTCCAGGAACCGAATGGCAACAGCGGCTGCGGAATAGCGAAACATGGCACGTCTGGCGCATTCAGAGCCCATCCAGAATCTTTCGAGACCAAACTTTCTTATTGAATGTTTCCCGCCGAGCGCATCCATTATCTGTCGGAGATCATGTTGCCTTGGAATGGTCCAAGGGTTCGGCTCCATATCGAGAAGGTGTTGGGTGTCATTTATGTTGTATGAGAGTTCCGTGAAGTCGTCATTGAGCCGATGCCTGTCATTAGTGCTTAGAATGGCTCGCAAAGCGAAGCGTACGAAATCTCGATAAACGGAGTGAGGTTCACCCCATGGGCCTTGCCTGGTTGATATGCCCCACGAATCATGTCTGATCATGTCGAGAACGGGCGTGAACTCTGGGAACGCCCCCGATATGTCATCACATGTATCATCCCAGAGAAGATGCTGTGAACAGTGAAGTGCATTTTCCAGTTCTTCATTTAGCATCATGGTGACGAGATCAAAGTCTCTAGCTCTGTGGCGTTCGTCTGGCGAGTAAAAGGTTGAAACGGTAATGGTGTTCGCCTCCAGTGCAAGGCCCCTCATTTCGTCGGCAGCGCGCTTGCATGTGTACGCGAAAGCCAGGTCGATTGGTCTGCCCAGGGCATCTCTGAGTTTGTTGGTTTCGGGATTGAGGACATAGCCTCCGTCGGACACGACGTAGAGCTGGTAAATGATGTGCCGCAGCTCTCGAGGGAGGTGAAAAAATGTAAAAAATGTAGCCATTGCGAGCTCCTTCCTCCCGATTACGTAGGAGTCGGGTCTGTGTGACGATTGAAGAAGATGCCAGGCGGATGTTTTGTATCGTGGGGGTTTGCGCAGGGATGAGATGCTAGCGGTTGTTGAACATGGTGTTGGGCGGCGACAGGCACGACGGGGAGAGGTGAAAGGTATTTAAGCGTGCTGGGTGGCCCGGGGTGGTCAAGGTTCGCAGGTGGGGATGGCACAGCGGAGAAAGGCAGCCAGACAGGTAGGTACCTTGTGGTCCCCTATCTTACGTACCAAGTGCACCCGCAGAAGGCAGTCACGTAGCGCATCTGCCTAACTATGATGTTTTCCACCCTACGCCTGACAGAACGCACCATTTGCCCGCACGATATCTTTTCAGAGCTTAGTCACAAAAAGATACATTTCTGAGCACCTGAATGAGGACTTTCGAGGAGTTGGCATGCATGTGTAGGAAAGTGCCATAGAAAGTAAGGTACCTAAGGTGCAGAAAATAGGCAGGTATATTATGGAAAGTACCTATGTACCTTAATAACCTAAGGCAACCTTCGCCGGGTCATGCATGTACCTACGCGCCTTCTGCCACTACTTTGTGCGGGCAAATGTACGTTCAGTGGCGGCAGTGGGTCGCGCGGCGATGTATGTAGCCCACTATTTACTGACTTGAGCCTACCTACCTTGAGGTACAAGGTACGTTACCTACTGCACTCCGTACCTACCTTACCTCAAGGCAAGACAGCCCGAAAACACCAGTTACTTCCGGTAGGTATCTCAGGCTGCCTGCCCAGCTTCCACTGACAAGAGATTACTTCGCTGTGGGCCTACGGTAAGGCTTGGCTGAGCCATGGACGAGACCGCGGTGCCGCGGTACGTATTTCTACTCACTGCAGGTAACCACGACACTTGGGGAGTTCCTCGCCAAACAGCCAAATTTACCCGCCCCTCAGGCACCTTGTTGGCCTGGGCCATAGAACCCGAGCCTCTGAATAAGGAGTACACCTCTTAGAGGTGGGTAACACAAGGAACCTAGGTACCTTACCAGTCAGTCGCCTGACGCTGGACAGCCTGAAGGATTAATGTCAAAGCATACACCTGACTTGACAATTGAGACGACGAGCGATAGATCACGGCAACGGAGGAAAAATATTAAGGGACAATTGTTTTTTATGTGGTGGTTTTTTTCCGGCTTTATAGGCGCAAAAGATCGACCTTAACGGGATCACGCTTTCAAGGGAAATTACATAATACGGTATACTTTTTAATTATATAATACGCATAATGTGCCCTAAGTACGCGCTTAACGCAATATAGTGATTTCGATACGAAAACCGCCATGCAATTCGGGATGGGCAAGCTGCCCTCTTCGCTCAATCTCGTGTTAGCTCCATGTCTCTATTCTCTAGAAGATGAGGGAGGGGTACGCTGCTTGCTGACGACAGGCTGAGCGACATACTCACGCGGCGGCGCCGGCCGGAAAGGTCGACGGCAGAGGTCGGCCGTAATGGTTGGCCGCAATGGTCGGCCGCAATGGTCGGAGGCGGCCTTCTGGCACGATGGGTATTAGCAAAAGTTCATCTCAAAAATGGCTGTCATTGTGTAATGCATCCGTAGTAGGAAATTTACTCACCCTCAACCGCAGAGGTTCTGAACTTTGATGGCGACGTAGAGGTTTCCGGAGAAAGGGCCAAATGGGCCAATATCTGCTGCTCTTCTTCCTCTCATGTCAGTCGTTGTTTGGTGCATCATGAAACTTACATCGTACTTGCCGTACCAGAGCTCGCAAAGATTCTTTCCATCCTCATCGCTTCCAACATCGCCCAAAGCTGCTCTAAGGGTATTTAGCGTCTACCACAGGGATAGAGTAGAAGCACTTATGACCAACCTCCATTCAAACCAAACAAATCCACCAAACAAATCCACCAAACAAACCCATCAACACACAAACCACCACCTGGACAGCTAGTCAGACAACCAGTCAAGAGGTTGGCCAGTCAAAATACCACCTCGACGAGAACCTACTCTACTAAATCATGGTTAGCTTTGCTCATCCAAAAATAGAATGAAAGAGAGCAATACCTCCCAGCATACAGTCAGCAATCAGTGGGCTAGAACTCTCTCGGAAGAGTGTCAGTGGCATTTATGAGTACGGGGGACAAGAAAGCGGCATGCCTCACCCAAAGATGCCCGTCGACAAGTCTGCCCCTCTCGGGCTGGGCGCCCTCTTCTAACACAGTCTGGTCAGCAGGGTTCATTTGCAGAGGGGTTCTTCCCGACCAAGGAACAAAAAGTCGTCAGAAAGAACTTACCGGCCAGCTCGACGCTGTGGCCATCGTGGCCAACGTGGGCACGCCCGAGGATTGGCGAAGTACCTTCCGGCGGTGCGGAATTCGGCTGGGCGACAGTACGAACGCCGTGGACAGCCGGGCCGGCACGGACGTCAAGATCCCTGGGGAATACCGTTAGTTTCTGTAGTTTGGTCGAGCATCGAGCGACTTACGGCATATCGACGCCGGCTTGGAAATCATGCTCTACGGAGCCAGAAATCCCTCCGATACGGGCCATATTATGGACGTGAGGGAATATATAAGGGGCCCCCTGACCCTCGACGAGAAGGAGTATGTGATGCGGGATCTGGCCGCCCACGCGGGCTGGCACCAGGAGGTCTTATGTGCGTTGGAGTGGGTGCAGCTCGCCCTCTAGACGGCTGGAACTTGGAGGACTCTGTCAGACCTGTTACTGATGCCTCGTATGGGAGAGAAAGGACAGGGCGGGCATACTCACGCGGGGGAAGGTCGGGAGCTGCTTCAACACGACTGTTAGCATAGTAGAGCAACGCAAGGAACGAGCAGGCCGCGTACTTGATGAAAGGAAGACAACGGTCGAGTCGGTTGACTGCTGCTGCGGCTCGGTCCGCCAGTCAGTCAAACGGCTCGCGTCATGAAAGCACAAAGCAACGCTGGGGAGGTCCACTTACTTTTGATTAGTAGTTAGGTATGGAGCGCAATATACCCAGTTTTCCTAGATTCATAACAGGTCAGTGAGGCGATCATGGAATGCAAGGACTGCAAGGTCACCGAAGATCTCACCCCAATACGTAATACACGGTACGGCCCCGGCGGATTGCTCCGTCGGGGGGTGAGGGCAAAAGGGGATTGAATTGAAAGTCTGGGCTAAGGTGTGCTACTGTACAAAGGCGAGGTAGGCTGACAGGTTGGACAGGAATGCCGTGGCACCGACCCGGAACAGAAGACAAAGGAGAAAACCAGGGCGAAGAGTCCAGGGGGAGGACGGGGGAAACAATGATGCGACGAGGCATTAGTAGCAGTCTTGGGTACACTAGATCCGAGACCAAAGAAGGTACGGCGCAATGAGATGCATAGACGTGTGGTCGACGTCTGGAAAGAATGGAGGGCACAACAAGACGAGAGAAGGAAAGACAAAAAGGAAGCTTGCCTCCGAAAAATGGTGGGTGCGGTTGGTGGGAAGCTGCGGGCCGTAATCAGCAGGGAAGCGGCATGTGTTTGCCCGTCCACCTGAACTGAGCGATGTCGAAATGGCGAATCGCCCACGCCGTGGCTACGTTGGCCTCGGTTGTGACCAGCAAATCGAAGTTGATTACGCCGACATGCTTACGCAAGCGACTGCGTTCGAAGGTGAGCTGTTTGCAATGGGCAAAGAGATGTTCGGCCGTCTGCATCGGATGACCACAGCGACATCGGTGTGTCTCAACCAACTGCAGTAAAGACGAGAAGTTAGACTCATAGCGTAAAAGAAGATGGGCCCGGTGAAGAGGCAGAGAAAGATGCAGAGGAAGAGGAAGAAGAATAAAATGACTCACGTTCGCCTTAAGCGAAAAGAGATAGCCGTTCAACCCTATCACCCCACTGCGGCATTGGAACAACATGCTACTCTGAGCACGCGTGAGCCCTTGATAGTACTTGAGACTCTCTGGGCCCCAGTTTTCCTTGAGAGCCGGAGTGTTGCGGTTGATGTTGCGGACCTTGCCGCTTCGGTCGTTTCTGTATCGATCCCACGCTAGACTGCTCCTCTCCATAGAGATGTCCTTCAGGTAGGCCTTGATGATGGCCTTGCGGCGCTTGGGATCGGCCCAGCCCTCGGCTTCTGACTGCACGGCTTGCTCGGGGTTCCAGTTCGCTCGGCAAAGCTGCTTATCCAGAACCCTCTCGCGCATCTCGAGCCACAAGGATTCCGCCTGGCCGTAGAGGGCTTTGTAGGGATGAGCGCCCAACTCCTGCTCCGTTGCAATGTCTGTAAAGACATTGTCCCACATTGCCTCGAGGTCCCGATACTCTGGTGAATAGAGGTTGTTGATCCGGTGCCTGAGAGCAAGTTGTTCAAGATAGACCGAAAGCTGAATCATGTGCAGCTCCTTGTGGACAACTTCCGAGGCAGAGGCCTCGAATCCACCTGCAATGAATCGCAGAAACCGCGCCTGTTCCGCGTCGAGAGATTGGACCAACGTCTTTGCCAACTGGCCTCGGATCTTCTGGCCTCGACCGTCGACGAACCAAACGGGGCAAGCGTATGAGAAGATGGGAAGAACCGAGCTGACGTAAAGCTTCTTCATCTCGTGCAATGATGGCCCCCAAGTCGATCCAGATATTCTGCGAAGATGGATCATCCTCCTCCTGACTTTGGTAATAACCTGTCGACAGAAAGGTCAGCCACGAGGGAGGAAAAAAAGAAAACGAAGGCAAATGAAAATTGAAAGGCGTGACTTACTTGTTCAATGTGTGCTGCCCATGTGAGTTTCGAATCCACAACAACCCCGAGCAAAAGAAGCTCTGTCTGCAGACAGTTCTTGGAGAGGCCGGGAATATCGGGAAGCTCGGTGCTTGGCGGCCCATGACTACCGGGTTTCCTGAAATGCATGACGAATGTCTTGTGAGGCCCGAAGAAGATGCCGTTGGGCGATGCCCAGCGCACCAAGTTGTCGTAGAGGAACTTCAATGCTTGACAGTTTCGAGCTTCCGAAGGAGACGTGACGAGAATGTTGGTGTCGTCAACGTAAGACATGGCCAGCGCAAAACTTGCGAACGGACAAGAGACCTGAAGAGCCTCTAGAATGGGGCTGGAAAAGGAGAGAAAGAGAATGGGAGACAAAGGACTGCCCTGAGGAATGCCAACATCAACCCAGAACTCTTCAGAGGTGTATCCGGGAAGTTTGAGGACAGTCTTGCGGTCGCTGAGGAACGACCAGACAAATCGCACAATTCAATCGGGAATGCCCTTCCGACGAAGAATCTTGAGCACTTCGAATCGTCCGACGTGATTGTACGCACCCGCAATGTTGATCGTCATCAATGTGGCCTCCAACTTGGCACGGCCGGTAGGTGACCAACACTGCTGTACCAAATTGACGAGATGCTCCAGGGCCTTGGTTGTGGGCTTGCCGGGCAGACCGAACTGCGTCGAAGGTGTCAAGTGGCTGTGATTTATGGCCAGTTTTTTTGAGGCGGTTTGCAACAATCCTCTCAATCAACTTGCCGACGACGGACAGCAGAGCAGGCGGTAGGCTTTGGGGCTTGTGTAGTCTTCTTTGTTGGCTTTGGTCAAGATGACCGTGATCGAGGGTTTGAAAGCGTCAGGGTGATGCGCGTGTAACAGACAGGCCTGCGCTCCACGTTTGATGCATGGATGGATGATGCTCTTCACGCTGCCTCTGAGAGCTTCGTCGCCTCCACCGTAGACGGCTTCGTCGGGAACCTCGTTAAAAGAGTGCAGCATCTTCAGGGCGTCTGAGGAAACTCAATCTGGCCCGGAAGCCTTGCCGCGGGTGAGATGGGGTGAGATGTGACAGTACATCTTCCTGTTTGGCTTGCACGGCATGTATGGATGATGTTGCTCACGTAAAGTTCAGGCTGGTCGGTACACTGATTTGTAGTTCCCGGTGGACATCCATGCAAGGTGCTTGGGAGGATCTTGAATGGCAATGATATGGGGTTGTTCATCCGAGTACTTGCTTTGAGCAAGATTGACAAGATATTTGGCCCGGCTTTTGCTATTTTTCAGGTTGACCTGCCAAATGACGAGGGCTTCTTCAACCTTGCCGTTCAAGCAACTCGAGCTGGCACCCATGGCCTACACTTCAGAACCAACGTAATGGTTGGTGTCTGTGAAGCACAAGGCCACCTTGGAACGGGGCAGCTTGTCAGACAGAATGTTTCGAGGTAGGACCTTCTCCGAGTGTTTTTACTACCTTACGCAGGTCATGGGCGGTACATCAAGATGCAGTACCATCGACCATTGGTCAACACCCTCGAACCGTCGTCATCATCATCGTCGTCGTCGCCGCTGTCGGGTTCCAATGAGAAGCAACGCAAGGTTTCGACATATCAGCCGAGATTGTATGGCGCGATGGCAGTGTGCGGATATGGGGTTCCTCGTATCAGGCCTGTACTACTTCTGGTTCTGGAGCAGGATAGTTGAGTCCGACGTCACCCTTGGCGCGTCCGCGGTGCGCTCCCCACTTCCTAATTCTTGTCATATCATTAATAGTACGGATATTATATTCTTCAACACTCTGGCAACCGAGGCCTTTGAGATTCAGTTCCCCTGAACGCACCTCATGTCCTGTCCACCTCACAACAACCGCCCACGCATCAAAACGACGGCAACTGCTTCGCACTCCTCATCCGCTCCCACGCAGTAAAATACCCCTCCACCGTATCAACCCCCTCCCGGAACCCGACCTCGCGCGCCCGCGTGAGATCGTACTCGCGATCAAAGTCGCACTTCACCAGCATCACATGCAGGAAGTCCCAGTTGTATCCCCTGGCGGCGCCCTCGTCCAGCCCGTGTTCCCGCGCCAGCGCGACCCACGCGTCAACGTGTTCCGCGATAAAGTCCTTCATCGACGGCGGCGGGGCAGTAGATCCGGACGCGGTGCCCGTCCCTGCCTCGGCGTCGATCGCCGCTTCGGAGGACGGAGGCGGCGGCGGCGGCGCCACCCCGATGAGACCAAAGCGCTCGCACAACCGAGGCCACACCACCGACCACGAAATCACCGCCCCGCCGTCCGCGACGTTGAAGGCTCTTCCCCCGCCGCACCCTTCCGGATTCACCACCGCCGCGAAAATTTCCATCTTGGAAAGCACGTCCTGGTTGGTATCCGTATGCGTGGCGCGGTAACTCCGCAGCGACCCCGGGAACGGCACCTCCACCTCCACTCGGTTTCCGGACCCGAGGCCCCCGGCTCCCGTAGTAGTAGTACCAAAAACCCGCCGCCAAACAGACAGATAGATCCCAATGCCCCTCGCCATATTCATCGCGTTCGACGTCGGCGCGAACCCCACAATCACGTCCGGCCGGATCTCGGAAAACGTCCAGTTTTTCCCCCGCGACAGGTCGCGCAGCAGGTCGTGCTGCGCGTAGTAAAACACCTCGTCGGCCCACGGCCGCGGGATCCGCGGCGCGTCTTCGCGGAGCGGGGTGCGTAGCGTCACCTTGTCAGGGTACATGAGGCCGTACCCCTTTCCGCCCGTCTGCAGGACGACGAAGGCGAGGCGCGGCGACACCTTTTCGACTGCTTTGACCGCCACGGCGAGTAATTCCGTGTTGGCTGCTGTCGCCACCGCTTGTCCCTTGGAGACGTCTACGTCGATGTAGGCTACATTGGCCTCCCCGACGTTGTTAGCAAAATCCACATTTCCCAAACACACATACACACACACACACAGACACCCCTTTCTTGAACGCATGCATGGCATGCAACTTTCTCTGCTTGAGTACGTACCCGTGTAAAAGACGTGAGAAACAGTCTCCACGTCGGGAACCTGGTCCCTCAGCGCCGCCGCTACCTCGTCCACGCTCTTCGTGAAGTCGATACCGGACACGAGGGCCAGGCGCGGGTCATCTGCAGGCAGCCGCGCCTGTTCGAGGGTCAGAGGGCGGTTCGTGGTGCCGGTGATGCGGGCGAAGGTCGTGGGCGTGGGGTAGGTCCGGGCCTGGTTGAGGAGGGACCAGCCTGAGATGCCCGAGGCGCCAAGGATGAGTGCGTGTGCCATTTTCTTCGTTAGGCGAGGGGGGGGGGGGTTTCTTTGTCTTTTCGTGTTTGATTTTGGGACTTTTGTTCCTTTCTGGGGTTTTCGTGATGCCAGCCGAAAGTGAGAAAAAGGACCTGTTATATAGATTTTTCTTTTTTCTCCCACCAAGTCCTCGTGCTTGGGGATTGATGTTGCTCGTGGTGATGAAGCTGCGTGTGGTGCATGGGCTGACTAAGGTGACGAGCGAAGGAGGTCTACACGGAATCCAAATCCCGAGGGTGATTGGTAAAACAAACCCTGACGCTCCGACATGATTTTAGGGTTACGGAGTGCGGTGAAGTAAGAAATCCAGTCAATTTGAAGGGGTTCAGGAATGTCTCTAGCAAGAAAACTGAAAGACGTATGTTGCCCGGTGGTTGACTGGTATCCTGGTAATATGACGAGAGGTAGCATCATGGCTTGATTTCACCTCAGACTGAGGAGTTGATGCCCATCCTCCTCTTTCCGTAATACAAAAACGTACATTGCTTTGTGTTACAAAAAGCAGTAACTACTCACACTTTTGATTGCCTGCTGAGGTGAAGAGCCTATAATGATATTGGCTTGATAGCTTCAACTATACGTGACCTCACCACACGTTATATAACCTTGATTATATCATCATCGAGATCTGTCATCGCTTTTACTTTTAGTTTCAAAGCGAGCTCTACATCTGGTTTCATTTTAAATAAAGAACTATGTTCTATAATATACTTCGATAATTAATCCATGTGGTTCAAGTTGAAAACACTCGGCCTGGCTTGCTATGTTGGCTACAGTCGGCCAGCACTGGCTTTGACGAGCAGCATCCCGCACTTAATAACCAGAGCAGAGAAACATCCTTTGGAGAGCTCACCTCGAAATTAATTCCATTTTCTACAGCATCATTAATTCAGCGACTTCTACTTAGCGCAACTATACGAGACATCGATCTGGGCTTGCACGCCCTCAGGTATGCACTACTGACTCGGGAGAAGATAACTCAGTGCATTGTTTTTGGATTCTGGGCTGGTGAATTGGATTGCCGTTTGCCTCCTGACTGTCTCGTCTTTTGATGAAATCGCAACGGTAATCGTCACTGCAAGTGGCCTTGTTTTGGCTGCAAATCTTGCAAGCTCGAGCGCCTCCAAGATGGACGGCGCTGCACTGCGAGATCTGAACGCTTCTCCAACGCATCCATGATCTTCTTCTTACCCCCATACCCATCTTTGCGCCTGGAAATCGCTGCAGATTTCAAGCCCCGGCAGCGTGGGCTGAATACCGCGGCCCGTCGTCGTCGTTGTGGCCATCCACGGTGCTTAGACCCGGACGATCAGCGCAGGGGTCGGAAAGACACGCAGGTGCGCCATTCCCTTTTCCGGACAGGGGTCAATCCAGGGGGATTCTCCTTCGTTGACAGAGTCTCAACTCCAGGTCGCCATATGACCAATTGAGCCCGAGGATTGACATCGCATCACGAAAAATCACCCGGAAGAACAATTGTGGAACGCAACGGACGGTTGATAATTGCAACCTACGTGATTGATTGTTACTTGAGAAAGAGAGAAAAAAAAAAAAAAGAACCCATTTCCGTCTAGAGTACCCTCCCACCCACTTATAATAGCTGTTCCAAACTCAGGACAAATAGGCGGAGCTAGGCGGCTCGTCCATGGACAACCGCCGAAGAATTATGCGTAACATTAATCAAGAAGAGGAAAAGAAAGACAAGGAAGCCGGCGGAGTAAATTCTAACGAGCTCTTCCGAGTGACAAAAGGATACCCGACAATGTTCCAATTTAATGAGGTACTCCGCCGCCACAGCCTACTTCTGCAAAGTTGACCACTTCTCGGCCCAAGATTGGGCAGACATTAGACTACCAGGCTCAGAAAAAGAGTGACTGCGCCGGCGAATCCCATGACACAAAGCTCATTCCATTTGAAACCAAATGACCGAGATGCGGAAGATGCCGATACCGAGGAGGGTTTACCAGAGCCCGCTGGGGAAGAGACTGTTGCGCCTGGCGAATTGCCATTCGAACCACCAGAGGCAGCTGGTTGTCCGGCAGGGGGATTACCCCCGGGTGCTTGACTGGCAGCGGGCTGCCCAGCGGGAGGGTTACCGCCGGGAGCTTGACTGGCAGCGGGTTGTCCGGCGGGTGGACTGCCTCCGGGTGCTTGACTGGCAGCAGGCTGTCCGGCGGGAGGGTTACCGCCGGGAGCTTGGCTAGCACCAGGCTGCCCGGCAGGGGGATTGCCTCCGGGAGCTTGACTAGAACCAGGTTGCCCAGCAGGAGGATTGCCCCCAGGGACTTGGGTGGCGGTGGCCTGCGGAGCTGCGGGGGAGCCTCCTCCAGCACCAATGGTAGGGATGGCGCAATTGCTCGAATTCTCGCAGAGAGAAATTGTTTGCGGTGGTAGTAGAAGAGTGCTCGTTATGGCGGAGTATGTGATGGATATGCCGCACATCTCAAGATATGGATCGACGAGAGGGGGCGCAGCAAGTGCAAAAGGAAGAAGCGGCAAAAAATGGAAGGACCTCATTGTGGGGGAGGTAAAGTTGGAGGTGCAACGAGTAAGTGCCAAAAGAATGGTAGGAGAGGATTTCAATGCCGAATGTTGCTCAAGGGAACGGAAGTCTTAAAGACCAAATGCAACAACTTCCAGTCTCATCAACCATCACCATCTTAAATTCATCAACAATCTTACAGAGGCAACTCGCCAATATCAAGTTTGGAATGAAATCAGAAGAGAACGGCCCCTAGTTCCTGATCGGCGCAGCTTACGCTGTCCCAGATCTTACTAGCGTCATGCTAACCCACATGCAGGTAGCGTGCAGATGAAGAAACGGGTCCGTTTAGGAAGGTCTTCGGCTTCCGTACTAGTGTGCTCGCTGCCTTTGGGAATCGATAGCCCTGTCTTCGGGAAGCAGCAGCCCTGCCCCCCCCCCCCCTCCGTTAAAGTTTCGGTCTTTTGAGGACTTAAACAGAATAGCTATATTGAGAGAGCAACGACGTTTGCAGAACACTCTGCGGCGGAGCAATCGGATGTGTCGTTACCTGAGATATTGTTGGCGAGTTCTGCTATTGGGGCAGTAACCCATTTTTCCAGCCAATGAGAAGAGCCTTCCAGTGAAACTTGAAATCTAGCGACCGCGCTGCACCTGCCATACATAGCTACTTACGTACACTACGGTCGCAATTGCCCACGGTCGCAATTACTTATGATCGTAATTAAGTATGTATTCCGGAATCACAATAACTAGGCAATTAAGACCGTACGTAAGTTATAATTACGACCTTGGGCAATTGCGACCTTAGGTAATCACGACCGTATGTAGGTAATTACTCGGAGCTAGTTCTAGAAACAGCGCGGCCCGCCCGCGTCTGTGGGAAAGTACCTAGCCGAAGCAGGCGTATAAAGCCCTCTTATTGGCTGGGAAAACGGGTTATAGCCCCAAGAGGAAAACTCATGTTGGCTTACTGCCTTGGGACCAGACTATTGATAGAACGTGCATACCGGGTGGCCTCAAGCAGCTGCCAAGTCAGTTTAGTTTTACTGCTTCTGGAGGTTGGTGATGGCGACAACCTCAATGCCAGCTGGACAGGCACGCAAACAGAAGTCTTGCATTAGTGATGCTTCACGACATTCAAGTATAGAGAGCAGGATAGGGATGTACTTGCTTCGTGCTTAGCTCGCAGAAAGCTCTACAATTTGAGAAGGAATATACACAGGCTCCTCGACTATACTACGTTGTTGATGCCTGCTCGCTAAGTGAACTGCATCTGGCAGATGCCTCACAACTTGTCCTTTTCGGCCATCGTCCTTTACCTTCAACCAGCTCGGCATTGACTTGCCGTGATCTGGTCGCATACCGCTGAGATGAACCTCTCAAGAACGCAAGAGAATAAGTCCCACCGGTTTCATTGACGGTAAATAATCATGTATCGTAAGCTCTAGATGAAAACGATACGAAAATTTCTTGGCGGGAGGCGAGGCAACGGTAGTAAGCAGACCAAAAGAAAATCCGTGAATGTCAGAACAGTTTTTGTCGCGGCGTATTTGCGGAGACTTTGAGATTTTCGCATTGCGCGTTAAAAAAACACGCTGGTTCAGGATTGGCGGTGGAAATCAAGTTAGTGATGTGACGGGAGCCAACCGACTCCGGAACGCGCCACGTAGGTACAGAGTCGAAGAGTGGCCTTTGACTTAGATCATCGTGATCATACCCAAGCGTGTAACGTCAAGAAACTGACAGCTCCAAACTTTTGAAATATAAGCCATCGTCCAAATTCCCAAAGACTCACCTCACGACAACACTCAACACCAGCTCGCCAGCTTTCTATTATCAAGTTGCCTCTGACATCTCCATGTCCACAATCGTTCAAGCATCCAAAGTCTTTACTTAAAAGCATCATCGCCAAGATGAGGCGCACTTCGCTTCTCACCTCGTTGATGAGCTCTGCGGCCATCCTACCATGGCCTGGTTTAGCAAGAGAGGACTGTCCCACCACTGGGCCAGCAGCTGTTCCAACCGCTGTCCAGCCTTTCGAAATCGTTCATTGCATCCCGCTTCATCTCAGCACTTCTCTCTCTTCCAATACCGTTTTCACTGTAGCTGGCACAACCGTCAAGGTCACCAATGCTCCAACTGTGGTTAATACCGACTTCCTGACCACGATGACGATGACGTACAGCTCTGCTGTGTAAGCATTCTGATAATAGTCCACCATCAATGACTCTTTCAGCGCAGCATCTTGAATCTTCTTCTGAATGGTACTAACTTTGTTTCTTCTCCAGGGTCACAAACTCTCCCTACAATGGCCCTTGTGTCACGGTTACCGCAAATGTTCCTGCAGGATCCCAGCCGACCACCATTGTCATCCCTCCTCAAAGCGGCCAAGCCACTGGCACGAAGTACATCTGCTCTCCTCTCGAGTCCAACAAGCCCTGGTTGCCATCAACCTCTCCCAACGGTGGAAGCTTCACAACAGCCACGGCCCCCTATCCGGGCTCAACCTTGACGACCCTGACCATCCCCCCCAGCGGCGGCGACCCTACCGGAACTGTCCTCGTCCTGACCCCTGCGCCTACGCCGAATGCAGGAAGTCCTCCTTTCAATGGACCCTACACGACCATCACAGCTCCCGGTACGGTGTTGACTACTTTGACGTTGCCTCCCTCCGGGACCGATGGCACTGGTACCCAAATCGTCTACGTCCCACCGCAGACGGGGGGGCTGGTGACTGCCACGTCGACCGGCTCTCGGCCTGGTCAGACAGGACTCATCACCATACCCCCTGGCAAGCCCGGAGACCCAACGACGATTGTCACGATTGTTCCTCCTGCTAGCGGTGGCGTCGTGACTTCCACCTCGACCGGTACAACCCCGGGTCAGACGGGGCTGATTACTCTGCCTCCTGGAAAGCCTGGCGACCCTACCACTGTGGTCACGATTGTCCCTCCCCCAACAGGAGGCGTGGTCACTTCCACTTCGACTGGTACCAGCCCTGGTCAGACAGGTCTACTGACTCTGCCGCCCGGCAAGCCCGGGGACCCAACTACGGTTGTTACCATCGTCCCCCCTCCGACCGGCGGGGTTGTCACGTCAACGTCCACCGGCACGCAGCCTGGCCAGACTGGCCTCCTGACATTGCCTCCCGGAAAGCCTGGAGATCCTACTACCGTTGTTACTATTGTGCCGCCTCCTCCCACTGGGGGAGTGGTCACTTCCACTTCAACCGGCACCCGGCCCGGTCAGACTGGTCTGTTGACACTGCCGCCTGGAAAACCTGGCGATCCTACCACAGTCGTCACCATCGTCCCACCACCCACCGGAGGTATAGTCACTTCTACATCGACTGGTACTCAGCCCGGTCAGACTGGCCTACTCACCCTCACCCCTGGAAAGCCTGGTGATCCTACTACAGTCGTTACTATCGTCCCACCACCCACCGGAGGTATAGTCACTTCTACATCGACTGGTACTCAGCCCGGTCAAACTGGCCTCCTCACCCTCACTCCTGGAAAGCCTGGTGACCCTACCACAGTTGTTACTATCGTGCCTCCTCCTGGTGGCTTTGTTACTTCTACGTCGACTGGCACTCAGCCAGGCCAAACGGGCCTCCTCACCCTCACCCCTGGAAAGCCTGGTGACCCTACTACAGTTGTCACGATTGTGCCTCCTCCTGGTGGCTTCGTCACTACCACTTCCACTGGTACTCGGCCCGGTCAAACCGGCTTATTGACCCTGACACCAGGTCGACCCGGCGATCCTACCACAGTTGTCACGATTGTGCCTCCTCCTGGTGGCTTCGTCACTACTACTTCCACTGGCACTCAGCCCGGTCAAACCGGTTTGTTGACCCTGACACCAGGCCGACCCGGCGATCCGACTACCGTGGTCACCATTGTGCCCCCTCCGGGAGGGTTGACAACTGTCACCTCAACAGGCACTCGGACTGGCGTCACAACTCTCACGCCCGGCCGCTCAGGAGATCCAACGACTGTGGTTACGTTCGTTCCATCTCCCACAGGTGGCTTCGTCACAATCACCTCAACCGGAACAGGAACTGGCCTCATCACCCAGACTCCTAGCCGCCCAGGCGACCCAACTACCGTCATCACCATTGTCCCAAGTCCTACAGGTGGCTTCGTCACCATCACATCTACTGGAAGTAGCACTGGCCTGATTACTCAGACTCCCGGTAGGCCTGGAGATCCAACTACAGTCATCACTCTGGTGCCAAGTCCTTCTGGCGGGGTGACGACCATCACCTCAACCGGAACAGGAACTGGGTTGATCACTCAGACTCCTGGACGACCTGGCGACCCGACTACAGTCATTACTATTGTGCCCTCCCCAACTGGGGGCTTCACTACAATTACCTCCACGGGAACAGGAACTGGCTTGATCACTCAAACCCCTGGCCGCCCTGGAGATCCTACTACTGTCATTACTATTGTTCCGTCTCCTACTGGAGGTTTCGTCACCATAACATCTACCGGAACGGGTACGGGTGTCGTTACTCAGACTCCCGGCCGACCTGGTGACCCAACCACCATCGTGACTATTATCCCGAGCCCTACGGGAGGCATTCTTACACTTACGTCTACCAGTGGCTCAGTCACTGGCATCACCACCCAGACTCCGGGTAGACCTGGGGATCCCACTACTGTCATCACTTTCGTCCCAACCCCCATTCCTCGGGTTACTCTCACTCAAACGGGGTCAACTACCGGTCTTACAACCTTGACCCCCGGAAGAGTGGGAGACCCGACTACAGTCATCACCCTTGTGACTGGCCCTCCATATGTGACCGTCACATCGACGGGATCCTCAACTGGCCTATTCACTCAGACTCCTGGCAGACCCGGAGACCCGACTACAATTGTCACCATTGCGACTGGCCCGCCGCCCGTTACCGTGACATCCACAGGCAGCACCACCGGATTGACTACGATTCCGGGAGGACCTGGAGGACCACCAACTGTGATTACTTTTGTGCCGACACCACGTGTGACTACGATCATTTCAACAGCTAGCACGACCGGCTTGACGACTCTTCCCTACGGCGGTGACTCGGTTTACACAGTAGTGACATTTGTTACTCCCTCGTCACCGGTCACAGTCACTTCGACTGGAAGTATTACTGGTCTGACAACCCTTACTCCGGGGCCCAGTGGCGGCCCTCCCACGGTAGTCACCTTTGTTACTACACCTGTACCAGTCACAGTCACTTCTACTGCAAGCACTACTGGCCTGACCACCCTTACTCCGGGACCTAGTGGCGGCCCTCCCACGGTAGTCACTTTCGTTACTACACCAGTGCCAGTCACAGTCACTTCGACTGGAAGCGTCACTGGCCTAACGACTCTCACGCCCGGCCCCAGCGGCGGCCCTCCCACGGTTGTCACTTTCGTTACTACACCTGTGCCAGTCACAGTCACTTCGACTGGAAGCACTACTGGCCTGACAACCCTTACTCCGGGACCTAGTGGCGGCCCTCCCACGGTAGTCACTTTCGTTACTACGCCCGTACCAGTTACAGTCACTTCGACTGGAAGCGTCACTGGCCTGACTACCCTTACGCCCGGCCCCAGCGGTGGTCCTCCTACGGTTGTCACTTTCGTCACTACGCCCATACCAGTCACAGTCACTTCGACTGGAAGCATTACTGGACTGACTACCCTTACTCCCGGCCCCAGTGGCGGCCCTCCGACTGTCGTGACTTTTGTCACAACCACGGCTCCGATCCCACCGGTGACCATCGTTTCGACCGGTTCTACGACCGGTTTGACCACTGTCCCACCGGGTCCCAGCGGCGGCCCTACAACAGTCATCACGTTTGTCCAGCGTCTAGGCTTCATCACCACGCTCACTTCGACAGCCACCCAGACTGGAGTAACAACTGTGGTTCCTACAGACCCTGCTGGTACCACCAGTGTCATCACTTTCGTTCAGCCTCCTACAGGCTTCATCACAACAGTAACGTCCTCGGCTACACGCACTGGAGCGACCACCATCATTCCATCCGATCCTGCTGGCACCACCAGCGTCATCACCTTCGTCCCGATCACGGGCGGGCTCACAACCATCACTTCCACAGGCACACAGACGGGAGCTACCACCATCATTCCATCGGATCCAGCCGGAACTACCAGTGTCATCACTTTCGTTCCTCCGATCACGGGTGGCTTGATAACTCTTACGTCGACTGGTACCCGAACAGGAGTAACTACAATCGTTCCAACGGACCCTGCTGGAACCACCAGCGTCATCACTTTCGTTCCTATCACCGGTGGTTTGACCACACTCACATCGACAGGCACTCAAACAGGAGTCACTACTATAATTCCAACAGATCCTGCTGGAACTACCAGTGTTATTACCTTCGTTCCTCCGATCACAGGTGGCTTGACAACTCTCACGTCAACCGGCACCCAGACGGGTGCAACTACAATCATTCCAACGGACCCTGCTGGAACTACCAGTGTTATCACTTTCGTTCCCCCTATCACGGGTGGTTTGACCACTCTCACATCGACCGGCACTCAAACAGGAGTTACTACAATTATCCCTACGGATCCCGCCGGAACCACCAGTGTTATCACTTTCGTCCCCCCTATTACGGGTGGCTTAATAACTCTTACGTCAACCGGTACCCAGACGGGTGTAACTACTATTATCCCCACGGATCCCGCCGGAACCACTAGTGTTATCACTTTTGTTCCCCCTATTACGGGTGGCTTGATAACTCTTACGTCGACCGGTACCCAGACGGGTGTAACTACTATTATCCCCACGGATCCCGCCGGAACCACTAGTGTCATCACCTTCGTCCCTCCGATCACTGGAGGACTTACGACGGTTGTATCTACAGGCACACAGACTGGCCTCACTACCATCATCCCCACGGATCCTGCTGGCACAACAAGCGTCATTACTTTTGTGACCCCTAGCAGCACTAGCAGCAGCTCGACCTCAACCACAATCGCCCCTGGCCCGACCTACAGCTGCGACGCTGGTGGCTACCTGATTCAGAGCACCACACTCTACCGACTAAACCTCACTACTGGGGTTCAGACCACGGTTTCTACCAATGTTGGACCTGGTGGTCAAATCAATGCGATTGGCTATAACCCCTTGGATAACTACATTTATGGCATTACTACTGTGAACAATGTGAACCGTATAATCCGCATCGCAAGGAACGGCCAAGGGGTTCTCATTGGCCCAGATCTTCCAACTGGATACTACAACGTTGGAGAGATCGACACACTCGGACGGTACTACATCAGCGTTAGCGGTGGAGCCTGGGCACAAATCGATATGAACCCCAACTCGGCGACCTTCACGCAGATCATCGCCACAGGTACTAGTACTATCGCCAATGGCGTATCCGACTGGGTTTATGTACCCGGAGGTGGCGATTACCTCTACAGTATCACGGGAGTCGACGCCAACGGTCGATTCTCATTAGCGAGATGGAGTCGGACTACTCATGACTGGTCAATTGTACGGACATACACGCGGATCAATGGCAACGAAGTGTTTGGAGCGCTTTATGCCTCGAGCGGCAACACGTTCTACGGCTCCGAAAACAACAGCGGAAATATTTATAATTTCAACGTCAACTCTGGTCAGCCAACCTTGGTCTCCGATGGTCCTGTTTCGGGAGTCAACGATGGAGCTCGCTGCGTATATGCAGCAGATCCATCCATTCTCACCACTTCCACAAGTTCTACCATGACCAGCACGACTTCATCTTCGACGAGCAGTTCCACTTCAGCCACCCCGACTTGTACTTCCGGACTGAACTGGGCGTACTACGACTTCAACCAGTCGCCTAGCAACACCACCAGCTACCCAGGACAGATTCCCTTCCACGTCGTGGCTTCGGGCGACGCCTGGGCGGACACATACAACAACGTGCGTACCGTTCTTTCAGGACAGAGCCCTCAGACCACCGGGGTGACGAATCTCGTTGGTACCACATTCGGCGGCAACTGCGCCGAGACTACAGATCCAACACCCGTCGTTTATGGCACAACAGTCAACGGCGGCTCGAGATACTGGTACATCCAGCAGACGGGCTACTTCCATCCCAACGTATCCGGCACGTATACTTTTGCCTTTGGTACGGCAGATGAAGGTGGGTACGTCTGGATTGGTGACAAGGCGGTGACCGGTTTTACAAACGCCAATGCCGACCTCACTCGATACACCCAACAGCCCGCAACCGTCCCCACATTCACGTTCACAGCCGTGGCGGGTCAATATTACCCCATCAGGTTCCTCTATGTAAACGCCCAGGGCTGCTACCAGCACTCTTTGACCGTTACAAATCCAAGTGGCGCCGTTGTTGCGTCGCAAACCGTACCGGCGACGAATAACATCTTCGTGCCTGGCGGCTGCGGTAACGCGCCCGCACAGTTCGACATTACGCCTCCTGGTACTTCGACTACCACTCCGACTGTGACGACGTCTCCGACTTCGTCGACTTCTACCACCAGTCCTGCCACTACATCGACTGATACTTTGACTTCGTCCACCACTGCTGCCCCGACTACAACTGACACCTCCACCACGTCCAGCTCGACGACTTCGTCCTCGACTTCTTGCGTGGTCTCCTTGACGAGCACGGCCTCGGCCGCCGCCCCGGCGGGTGCCACAGCCCAAGTAGTTGTTCCTGCCTGCGCCACTGTCATGCGATTCACCGTCCTCGGTGGCGGCGGTGGTGGCGGCGGTGCTGGTGCATCGATCAACGGCTCCATCGCTGTTACCCCAGGCGAAACTGTTTTGCTGCTCGCTGGCGGCGCTGGTACGAGAGTCAATGCCGTTGGTGCTGCTGGCCAGAGTCAGTACGGCAACGGTGGATCTGCCTCCAACAATGGCGGTGGAGGTGGCGGCGCTTCCGCTCTCTACCTCGGCCAGAACCTTCTTGCGGTCGCTGGCGGAGGCGGCGGCGGGTCCATCGTGGTATCCAACAACGGCCAAGGAGCTTTTGAACTAAACTACAACTACATTGGCGGAACAAGTAACGCTGGTGATAAGGGTTCTTCCTACAATATCACGCTGCCGAGCGGTACCGTCACGTCCACATCCAACGGAGGAGCTCCAGGCACTCAGATTCTCGCCGGAGCCGGTGGTACGTGGACAGGCTTGGGAACGTCGGCAAACGGAAATGCCGGAAGCGGATCCGTTGGTGGGAACGGTATTGCCGGCGCGGGCGGCAGCTTCAACGATGGCTCTGGCGGCGGCGGCGGTGGTTACCGTGGTGGAGGTAGCGGAGCCACTGGCTACTATTCGGTGGGCTCAACAGTCCAGCGTATGCCGGCCGGCGGTGGCGGTGGTTCCAGCTTCGTGGACGCCTCGGTTTCGGACTCGTTCCAAGGCCTCGCCGCTTCAACTGCCCCCGGTAGAGTTGTCGTATCCTTTGCCTAGTTATCCAAACGGGCTCCGAATGCATTGTGGTCATTTCGGTTTCACCTCTTGCTTTCTTTTTTCATTTGTCATTCTGGTACTCTTGGAACGCTGATAGACACTGTAACACTTCATACTCTCCTTTACTAGGCTCAAGCTAGCCTCAAGCAACACAATTTGTCATTGCTCTCGAATTACACTTATGTTAGAGATTTACTATCCGAGTGGTAGGCTACTTATTTCAAGTAACTCCCGTCAAACTTCTTATTCATAATATCATACTACAATCATCCAAACACCCCAAAAGATAAAGTCCCTCCTTCATCCTTGAAGAAGCAACAAGACGAACAAAAAAGTTGTTGGTGATTACCTAATTTACAGGATGACTCATCTGTCGGCAAAATGTCGCTTTGCCGACGAGACCGGAGGGAGACGAAAGCTCGGGCCGCTGCCAGCTGCCGGTGCGTTGTGAAATCTGACAAAGCAACAAAACTGGCAAGCCTGGGTCACCTCGGCATCCCGACATTTCGCCGTCATCGGTGTGACGAGAGAGCCCTCTGACACATACTCGCAGTGTTCCTGACAGTAAGGGAAGGTAAGTAGGTAGGCACGCGTAATTCGTATGTTGGTGGGAAATTGACCATGGACAACGCTTTCGAAGGGATGCATCGGACTTGACCTCGTCACTTTCTTTCTTGTCTTTCTTTGTCTTCAGCCTTTACTTTACTCTCATTTCACCACCTCTTCTACCCACTGTCAGGTACTCAAACCCGCACCTCAAGACATGCCATTCCCACCATGGCGGCTCGCAACAGCCACCCATCCAGCAGCAGCACGACGGAGGCTCGCAGAAGCCCCTTTGATGACGGGCCTCTCCCGCCCATCAAATCAACCGCGTGCCGCCGATGCCATTCGCGAAAAGTAAAGTGCTCCGGCGACCAGCCCTGTCAGAATTGTCGGCATGCCGGGAAGGGTGCCGAGTGCACTTATCCGCGCCGCAATAGACAGGTCAAGGTCAGACAAAGGTACTTTACATTTGACTTCTGACCGAGAGCCATGCAACTACACACAACACACACGGTTTCTTGCTTTCCTTTTCTTTCCTTTCTTCTTCCTCTTCTCTACTATGAACTACGGGATAATGATGAGCTCATGCCAAGTATTTGTTGTACAATTACAGCTACATTGACGGTCTTCTGGATGAGATTCGCCGTCTCAAGAACCAGGTTGCCTCTCAGAGCGCTTCGACCTCCACATGTGCGCCGCTAGATGACGTGATATCAACGACGACGTCGACAGCAACACCATCTCAAAACACCAGTTACACTGGCCACAGGGAGGTCTTGTCAACGCCAACGTCTGCAAACCTAGGCGACAACGAAGATCTCTCGACAGTGGCAGCGGCGGCGGAAGATGCAGTAGCAGCAGCCGGAACCGCAGCTCCAACAACGGCAACCCTCGAAGTTCGACCGTGGTTCATCAACGCCAACGTCTTCCGCACCCCGATCCTCATCGGCGAGGTCGCTGACGCCGCCTTCTCCACCCGCTTCCGCCAGGTCATCTCGGACCCCTACGCGCCGCAACCTCGCCACATGCTGCGCGTGAACTACGCTCCCGACGCCGAGCTCATGGCTCTCGTCAAGTCCTCCGACGTCGCCTGGCCCACGCCCTCGCGCTCCCGCTTCCTCGTCGAGGTCGCCCTCAAGTACGTCGCCCGGCGGTACCACGTCGTCCGCCGCAGCGCCGTCATGCGCGACCTCGAGCAGAGCATTCATAACCCCTCCTGGGGCGACCTCATGCTCCGCTCCAAGCTGTGGGCACTCTTCGCCATCGGCGAGCTCTACTCCACAAGGTCCATCCCCTCGGAGAAGGACTTCCCCGGGATGCCCTACTTTGCCAAGGCCTCGCGCGTACTGGGTGTGCTCGACGAGCGGCCGGGCACGGATTCGATCGAGATCATGCTGCTTCTTTCCTTCTACTCGTTGGCCCTCAACCGCCGCTATAGCGCCTTCGTCATGTCCGGCACCGCGATGCGCATGGCCATCGTTATGGGCCTGCACCTCAACATCCCCGAGTCCCAGTTACGCGACCCTGATGTACGCGAGCACCGCAAGCGCCTCTTTTGGACGACGTACATCTTTGACCGTATCTGGGCCTCCAAGCTCGGCCACCCGACCGCCATCCAAGACAGCGACGTCGGCGTCGATCTGCCCTCTGAGGGGGAGAATGACGGGGTGGCAGTGGTGCGGACTCACGCGACCGACTTTGAGGATACCGCATACCACGTGGCGAGCCTGCGGCTGGCAGCCCTCATCACCAAGACGGTCCGCTCCATCTACGGCCAGCGCAGCCAGGGCGAGGCGACGACACTGTCGACGAAGGTCCAGCAGGCGCTCAAGGATCTGCGGGCCTGGGTGGAGGATTTGCCTACCCATTTGCAGCTCGATAATGCGGGAACTGGGCCGAAGCCTATTTCGCTGCACTTGTCTTTTAACCAGGTATTGGAATCTCGCACAGACGCTCACCTGAAGAGGCAATCCTTTACTAACGCATGCTCCTTCAAGTGCGCAATCCTAGCAACACGCCCAATTCTCCTCCACATCCTACGAACAAAAGTCGCCTCATGGCCATCCGCAACCACGACCACAGAGACTCAGCAAGTCCCGGCGAGCGCAATCACGCTATCGGAAGCCTGTATCCGCTGCGCGCGCCACTCGATTCGCTTGCTGACTGAATCGTGGATCGACGGGTCTTTTGCGACGTTTGACTATTTTTACACGCAGTACCTTTTCTCTGCGCTGACGATCCTCGCCGCGTCGAGTCTTCTCCAGGACAGTACGTCAGGGGCGGGGACAACGCCCAATGACGACAAGGAGGCCTTTGAGGAATCGGTCAGGTTCCTCTCGCAGCTGCGCGACGCGGGGAATTTCGCTGCAATGGAGTACTGTCACCACGTCGACGTGATGAGGGCTGAGCTTGATAGGTTTTATGCGAAGCGTATGGGGAGGGTGGACGCTGAGCAGCAGCAGACGCAGACGCAGGTTTCCTCTACATCTTCCTATGGCGAGGTACTGCCGCCGTCGCACGGACCCGGACCTGAACCTGAATCCGGCCCGCTCATGTCGTCGCAATTCGGTCCCAGTGGTGCAAGTGGACTTCCAGTGCGGCCGGGGACGGGGCCCACGACGGCGGGAATGGCGCTGACGGAGCCGTCGTTGGAGGAGCTCCTTGCGCAACCGGTGTTGGATCTGCAGTTTTTGGAGGCGTCGTTCTATGATGACTTGCAGGCGTTGTATTGGCCTGATTTTAGCGCGGAGAATTGGGATACGTGGGCTTCTACCTGAAGGTCTTGCTGTTGTTAATAAGAGAAGAGGTGTGGGGGTGAGAGTTGAAATCTCAGGACTGCCCTGTTCAAGGACGAACGGGTGCAAATAATTCCGTGCCCATTGATGTACACAGTCAATCGAAATCGAAAAGACTCTGATTCGAAACATAAACGACAGATGAGATCCCGTCGACTTTGTTTTATTTGCGGGATCGTTTTCTTCCGGGGAGGTGGTCCAGGTGGGGGGTACGGGCACGGGAGAAATGGTACTTCTTTCCCGATTCGGTGGAGACAGGGGCCCGTGATTGGGGGGAATTTCTGTCTTTCTTGTTGGATTTCTTGGAACGACATGGTTACATTTTGGAGACGAAGTACGGATATTGGTACCTGCACGTCACGCAACTTTATGAAAGAAATTGTCACTCAGAGATAAGGGCGGATCGGCTTTTCATGGACAAGCTGTATTGTCATCTATGTCTTCTTTTCTTGGCAGAACACAAGTTCATAAAAAGGTATTGGATGCACGGGAAACTTTCACTCAATGTGTAAAAAAAAAAAAGAGAAAAAAAAAGGTTCACTCGTTTGCTTTCCTCTCCAAAAGGTCGTGTCATCGGACCTCCTCCAGCTCGCAAAGTCATGATCCCCTCTAAATTCAACCCGCCGCCGCTGGCGCTCCTTGCGCTCCTCCTGAGTGGCGCGTACCACACGACCGCCCGCGACATTTTCGTCTCCCCCGCAGGCACAGGCACGGGCACCCTCGACGCGCCGTACGGCTCCATCCAATCGGCCGTCGGCGCCGCCGTCGCGGGCGACACGATTTTTCTCCGCGGGGGCACGTATGCGCCGACGGCGAATATTCAGATTGCAAAGAGCGGGACGCGGACGCAGCCGATTACTATGAGGGCGTATCCGGGGGAGAAGGTTATCGTCGATGGGGAGAATATGCCTGGGTAAGTCTTTTTTCTCCAGCTGATTGTGTAATATGCAGCAGTAGTGAGACTGTGCTTGTGGGGCAGAGAATGTGGGCTGACAGGGGGCATTCCAACTTTCACCAGAACTCCAAAGGCGTTGGGTGAGGCCTTGCCCAATTCTGAGCGCGGGATCTTTCACATCCAAAATGCGAATTACTGGGCATTCTACGATTTGGAGTAAGTCAAAATCCCTTCACGTCACTTCTCTCTCCCAATCACCAATCAACACAACTGACCTGAACCAAGACTCATCAACGGGCCCTACGGGATCTACGCCCGCGACGCCTCCCACAACACCTACACAAACATCTCCACCCACGACAACTACGAAACGGGCTTCCAGCTCGAGGGCGCCTCATCCAACAACACCGTCGCGAACCTCGACTCCTACCGCAACCGCGACCCGCGCAAGAACGGCGAGAGCGCAGACGGCTTCGCGTGCAAGTCAGGGTCCGGCGAGGGCAACGTCCTGCGCAATGCGAGGCTGTGGGATAACGTCGACGACGGGCTCGACCTCTTCATGTTCGGGTCCGCCGTGGTGCTGGAGGAGGTGTATGCTTGGGGCAACGGGTATAACCGGTGGGGGTTCAGCCCGTTTGAAGGGGATGGAAACGGATTCAAATTGGGGATCACGGGGAACCCTGTGGCGGATCATGTAGTGCGGAATTGTATCGCGTTTGGGAATTGGAAGAAGGGGTTTATTGATAATGGGAACCCGGGTAGTTTGACTTTCGAGAGGAACTCGGCGTGGAATAATGGGGATACGGGGTTCCTGATGCGGAGTTCGTCTTCGGTTATGCGGGGGAATGTCGCGGCTGTGAATGGGGCTTCGGGGAGTGCGCAGGTGAGTTTGGTGAGTACTGTCACGGCGACGGGGAATTCGTGGAATGATGGGACGACGTGGACGAATGCGTCTTTTGTGAGTGTTGATGCGTCGGTTTTGAAGGGGCCTCGGGGCGCGGGTGGGAAAGTCGTGGGGAGTAGCTTTTTGACTCCCAAGAGTGGTGCGCCTATTGGAGCGACTACGTTGCAGGAGGTTTGATTGTGCGTGTTCGTTGGGCGTCTGCATTGATTTTGTGTACAATTCATTCTGTTCGGCATTTTCGACCTTGAACCATCTTTTGTAGTGTGCTTTACGCAGTAGTACGAAATACCGAGATGCATTAAGCCAATCAGATTCGCGCGACCGTTAGACCTACAGTAAGGTAGCTATGCAGTACGTTGGAAGCATTTCAGTTTCAGTCACCTGAAATCTTGATAAAGTGCCATGTCTTGGATGTCCTGAGCTGAATAATGTATTACTAATCTAATTTAGGTCTGTGATTGGAAGGCGTGGTATACTAGTCTCCACTAGCCGCCATCGCTCTTCATATCTCGGGTTTTTTATGTTGAGTCTCTCAATGGCGAGCCCGGACGCTTGACCCCAAATCTCAGAACCCAAACCCCAACCCTAGCCAAAGGCGCGCATTTCGACGCCCTCCATCATTGATGAGAACGTCCCACCCTAGTCACCACGAATCCACTATTGCACCTCAAGCTTTGGTCTCGCGGTAGGTCTTGATCTCATCTCTCTTATCAACGGGGCGATCGGCGTCGATGAAGCTCTTGGTGTCGTCGCGGGTGCACCAGCAAGCACCAGAGTCGCTGAAGAACAAGAAAAAAAACTCATGATTAGCCACTTTGAACTCTTTTTCGATTTCTACACAAGCAGAGCGCAGACAAAGCCCGCGTGTCACTTTGTAGACTCTGTAGCAAACTTACTTTGCCGCACACCAGCCCTCCGGCATGGTGAGCTTCTTGCAGAGCGTAGGGCAGCCCTGCTCTTCGCCGGCGGCGCAGCTTCGGACGCAGTTACTGTTGAGACGTAAGAGCAGGTTAGCGGGACTGAGCGACAGCTATGTTGACCTGAGTGTGAGCTATGGCTTGGAGGCTTGTCATTTCATACCCGTTGAGGCAGCGTCCGGATGCGCAGCCCGAGATCTCGTTCCTGTAGCACTTTGTGGCCGGGGTGGTGGCGTGGCCGTTCCAGCCGGCGAGGGTGCCGGGGATGGCGGCGAGGGCCAGAAAGGCGACGGCGAATGATGATTGGAGCATTGTGAATTTTTAGGTTGGAAAAGAGTGGGTCAAATGAGTGGATGCAGTAGTTAGTACGTCGTGTTGGTAAAAGAGAAAGATGGGGTAAAGAGTGTGGTGATGAGCCGGTGGGATGAGTTGTCAAATATGGTGGTATATATACGATTGAGAATCAATACTATAGTGTTGTGGGGATCGTTGCTGCATTCACTTGCAAGGCTCATTACAATTTACCCAGTAGATTCGGGGTTGATTAGTCGTGCGCTTCTGAAAGTGTTGCAAATTAAGTGACTATCCTCAATGTCGAGAGCGAGTCAGTGCGGACTTTGGTGGGACGTTGTTTGAGCCGCTGACTGCGGAATTCATCGTCTCAAGAGCGCAAAACCTGGTTGCCGATGGCAGTTAAAGGCGACAACATGAGACAATGAGAGCCAAATTTGAGACAAAGCACACGTGGATCAATGTCAATTAGTAGTTAATACGAAGTGTCAATTGCTGAGTATTTGGTCTAGCAGCAATCGAGCACATTAACCAGGCCAAAAGACGGTTCTAAAGCCGTCAGTCAGATGCGACGCTGTACGAAAATTGGATAGGAAATTTAGACTTTGGAGTGCGAAATATATTCCCACTTTGTTGGAATTGCAAGCTTCCTGGTGTTGCTATAGACGAGACAGCATAGGACTATATTTGGCGCCACCTACCACCGGGCCGGTAACCTGATGAAGAGCTAGAGAAACCTTAATTGGCGGCGCGACCGATGAATGGTGACACGCGGGAACTTAGGTTGATTGGCAACTTGACTCAGTTGACAACTCTGTCCCCTGGGTCCCACTTCAAATAATAGCCTAGCGGTGGGGGTGATTCTGCTTCCCGCTACGAGCGACGCACACTTTAATGTTGCAATCCTCTCTGGTGCAATGCGCGTGCGCCCTAGGTGTAAAGGCTATGACGGAGCTTCCGCATGGACCGGAGCTTGGACGTATTCCGAGACGTTCGTCCGAAAGTGTGTGAGGCTGCTCAGTGTGGGGTTCTCCAAATGAGCTTCATGACCACTACACGGAGCAGTTCACTTTCGCGGACGGATGCTTAAATGTCCGTAACCCGTAAGGCGTTCCGTCTTTTGTGGAGACTGTGGCCGAACGGCTGTGATGGCCGCCTCGTATGCTCAATTGATCGAAAGCTTGAAGGAATGAGATTTCTTCCCCTTATTTGAGGGAGCTTTTTATGCTACTGATTAGACCTAAGTGATTAGACCTGAGGCAGTGATTTACTCCCGCTTACGGCGTATGGCAATTTTGTTCACCTTAGAAGCTATATTGCAAAGGAGCTGAAAGCATCTTTCAGCGCACTCGACGACATTAAGATACTAAATGTTCATTTCCGGGTGGAAAGTAGTCAAAGTTCTGCTACAAATCTTCCAATAAAAAAAACACCATCCCCATGCAAAAACCCCACCCGTTGAGGTTTTCCCCATTTTCCCCGACTCCACTAATGCTGCATCGATCATCTCGCACATGCCATCATACATCACATCCATAAAAAGAAGTTTACGAAATGCCAGAAACATCACGATAAATCCCTCTTCACAGGCGGGAGAACCAGCTCATCCCGCCCCGCGACTTCGAGGGTACTCTCCCTCCCGCGCCACAGATACCTCACGTGGAGCGCTTTCCGCCTTAGCGGCGCCGGATCCCAGAATCCCAGCAGCGAGGCCTTTCTCACCCCGGCCGGGATCCGCAGCCTCCCGTCCTCCACCAGCGCTGCTACTGCGATGGTGACGTCTGCGACTTCTTCTGCGGCCCAGCAGTCTGAGTCGCCATCGCCATCGCCCTCGCCCTCCCCGTCGCCAACCTGACCCTCACCCCTGACGCCGAATTTCGCGCTGAGAATCACCAGTCCTCCCCGCTGCCGCTCCACGCGCTGCCGCGCCTCCACGGCGCCCGAAAGCACGACGGCGATGTCGTCCGCCGCAGCCCGCTTGCGGGCGATGTAGGCTTGCAGATCCGCCTCGCCAAGGTGGCCCCCGCGAGTGCGCTTTGCCCGCCCCGATGAAGCAGAGTACGACGAGTAAAAGTGCCGCGCGGCGAACGCAAGTAAAGGCACGGCAGCCGCGTAGAAGAAGACGGTGGGCGTGTACTCGGCGCGCGGAGATAGGAGCAGCGGGATGCTGAGGCGCTGGCTGAGGCGGGACCAGTAGAGGGAGAGGTGCAGACTGTGCAGAGTGACGCCGAGCTCGAGGCCGAGTTTGGAGAAGCGGCCTACAGGCCAGAGGTTGCGAAGGGCGAGGTGGCGGTCGAGGAGGGTGTTTGTGCAGAGTTCGAGTTCGAGTCTGGTCGGGGCGGTGGGGTTCGAGCTAGATGCCGAGAGGAGTGCCGGCAGGTCTTTGCCGTAGCGGAGGTAGCCTCCGATGGTATCTGCCGTCAAAGAGGCGGATACGGTCCACGAGCCGTCGTTGGCGATTGCCGATTCGTGGTCTAGCCCTCGGATACCGCACTCCCCGCGCGGGGAATCCTCGTGGGCTGTGGACGGGACGCGCTCGGGCGAGGTGGTGTACCCCACTTCGAAGCTCGCGGATGTCTTCATGGGGAACTCGGCGAGGAGTTGATTCTTGCTCACTTGCGAGAAGTCGGTGAAGAGCTTGATGGTCTCACCGGGCCAGACGCTCCAGTCGCCGCTGTCTGCGATTGCGTACGCGGTGCCGGCGCCCGTCCAGCGGTGGATCCCCAGGCCGATGCGGGGGGCGGATTGCGTCCATGGTCGGCTTGATTTTATGCTTCCCTCGAGTACTATCGGATAGGGGGCGTTTGGTAGGTGAATTGGGTGTGAGATTTTAGCTGTTAGAGATGCTTCTGGGAGAGCCTCTGTTTCTACTTCAATCGATGTCTTTGCGATGCGGTCTTCAGCTGTCCTGTGGATGATATCCTGTCGGAATTTGAGGCTGATGAGGGGACACGGGCGCTGCTCTGCCAGCTGGATGATTCGTTTCCGGGGAATAGTCAGAGGTAGTAATGGTTGGTATCGATCGGCTAAAAGTGGCAACGGGACCCGGTAGATCTCCTCTACGATGCCGTACACAGATCCGGTCAACGTCACCTGCGGAGGCGGGAGATAGATCATAGACTCCCGGGGCTGGTCAACACCAGCTTCGTCGCTCTCGTTGAGCGCAATCGAAGGCACCCGCTTCGACGTAGACGAGACGCGCTGCGCCTTCGGTGCCGCCGTTCTCTCAATCCACCGCCCCAGCACCGGCAGGCCAACGGTCACAGAGTGACTCAGTGTAAAGTCGAGAGGTGTCACGGCAGACCCCCGCCGGAGCGCCTTGGTCGCATCGAACCGGATGCCCAGATCCGACGACGTCTGCATCACGTCGGCCGCGCGCTGCCGCAGCTGCTCCTTGAGCGACATATCGTACGCATATCGGTAGTCCTCGTCAAGAGGCACGTCGAGCGCACTCGTCACGTCCCGCAACCGGCTCGCGTCGTACAGCGCCCGTCGGTACGGGTCAATCAGCGTCTCGAACCCTCTCTGCACCTGGTTGAAGTACGGCTGCGCGACGCCGTGCAGATTCTCGGGCAAGCCATCCCTGTGCAGGTACAGCAGCAGCCGGTGGTACGCCCGCCGTATTTGATCCGGCGTCAGCGTCGGGTCCTTGGCCAGGCACAGCAAGTCGTAGTAGTCGCCCTCGGCGCCATCGATGTCTTGCGTCGCATCGCCGCCGCCCGTGCTCACGGCAATTGTGCTCTCGTCGCCGACGTCGGAGGCGAGCGTCATACGCTCGAGGATGGAGGAGGCGTCGTCGTCGCCGAACTCGTATTCTTGTCGCGTGGCGGCGAATTGTTCGTTTAGGGAGAATCGCGACGATGCCGATCGCAGGGCGTGGGGAAGCTGTTGTTGCGCATGCTGCGGTAGCTGCTGCTGGTAGCTGCCTGAGGGGTGAAGGTAGGAGTAGTCCTCCCATGCGGCCGAGGA